GGGGGGGGGGGGGGGGCGAAGGCGACGACACCGAAGAAGCCGGGGAATCAATCGCAGGGGTGGATGGAGTAGGGGGTGAAGGGAAACGGCTATAGACGTTTTGTTGGGTATGAGGATACGGGGAGAGAGAGGTGGGAACCCCGTGCCCCCGTGTGCAAGTGAGAAAGACGCGCGCGGGCAACCACCAGTCAAGAATGCCGGATATCTCGACCACGGCCTACGCAAGACAAGTCAAAGGTATCATATCGCGCAACACCCACACCCGAACGTGCCTCTCAGACGTTCAAAACATTAAGATTTTCTCTTCGAATCGGTAGAGCCACAGCCACACCGAAAAGGGATTCCAAAATAGAACTGAGCAGCGGTGGTAGTGCATGCATCACTTTCGCGTCCCATTGGTGTACACGACGACGACCACGTCAACCAGCAAGCCTCACCCTCTCCCGGTGACTTCATTGCTCCAACGTGCCTGTGTTTTTGAGTCGATCATGGACACCACATACAAACGCCGTGACCCCAAAAAAGGCAAAAAAAAAATCGGCGGATGCAACTCACGATTCCCAATCATCCTGAGCACCGGACTCCTCATCCCACTGCCCGCCGGCGCCGCCGTTATTGTCCGGTGCATCCGCGTCGATCCGCCCTTCTCGCAGGGGGGAGGTCAGCGGCGACGTCGCCAGGTCTCTCCGCAGGGGGTTATGGACCCGCTCCACGAAGAATGCCTCTCCCGCCGCGCCGAGCTGACACACGATTCGTGTCCGGCGGACAAAAAAAAAAAACACACACACAAGAGACAACAAGAAAATGAGACGGGCACCTACGGAAAAAGAAGCTTGAGAGGCGAGAGCCAAACCTCTCTCACCAACCAAAAAAACGAACACCGTAAGCCTGCCGCACCGCCGCCTGACAAAGGCAATACCGGGGAATTCCATCCACCCCTCTCAGTGTGAACCAAGAGGAACGGCGTGCGAAGCGCGCTTGTGCCACGGGGAGGGGGAACCAACTACAAAAAATATCATTGGGTGGTGGAGTGTGTGCGGGGGAAACTAAGCGTTGCTGAAACCGCCTCTCGGCATGTAGTTTACCTCACCTTCATGCACAGCGGGACGACACGTCCGTTGACCCGCAGCTGGATCACGCGTTCCCTCGAGCTGGTTGTGTGTACCTTCCACCACATGTACAACAACATGGACAGCGGTGACGTAGACATCACGCAGTGTGTGTGTGTGGGGGGGGGGGGGGGGGGGGGGGGGGGCCCTAAAAAAAAAAAAAAAAAAAAAAACAAAGGGAACCTAATAAAAAAAAATTTAAGGAAAACCCCCAAAAAAGGAAAAAAAAAAAAACCCCGCCCGGGTTTTTTTAAAAACACCACTGGGGCGCCTTTCTCCCACCGGGGGAAAAAAAAAAAGGCCCCCCCCCCCCCCCCACCAACAACCCCGAAAGGGAAAACGGGGGGTAACTTTCACGGCCAAAGGGAAACCCGCCCGGGCCTACAAAAAAAAAACGGAAACTTTTTCCCAAAAACGAAAAGGGGAAAGCCCAATCTTTTTTTGGAAAAAACCAAAAAAATCCACCCCATCCCAATTTTTTTCCCAAACCAAAAAAAAACATTCCCCAAATATCCATCCCTACCTGGGCCCCCCTTTGCAAAACGAAAGGGAAAAGGGGGGAAAAAAAAAAACCCCCCCCCCAGCGGA